GCTCGGCGCGCGACCGCCATGGCGCGGAACGTGCTGTGAGTAGCGTCGCTGCGGGGCCCCTTGTTGGCCCGGGGCAGAGACAAAGGGGCTGAGTGCAAGGGACGGGGAGAGGTGGAGGGGGGCTCCCGGCGGCCGAGGTACAGGTCATGTAAACTGAGGTCCTTGCCGCCGTGGGGCTCTGGTCGCGGCGTGGTGGGGGGCAGGTGATAGCCTGACCCGGATCTGAGCTGGGGAATCTCTGACAGCGACCCCAAGAGTTTGAACGCCCAACGCGCGTCGGCTCCCACATGGCCCACGTGTCCGCGTCTTCCCAGAGTCTAAGCAGGAAGCACACGCCCTCGGTGAACACAGACCGCTCATGAGTGACGGACTGTACCCCTGTGGGCTTTGTGAAGCAATGAATATTTGGGGGTACCCAGTAGACAGCGTTTTGGGGCCCCTGCACACATGGCTAAGGAGATGGCCTGCAGGGGTGGGGTGCCTTGAGGACCCCTGGGTGAGTTTCTTTTGCAGACTCTGGGACCAGGACACAAAGGTCCTTGCCCTGGGGAAACTGAGGCTGTGCGTGGTGGGTAGGGGAGCGGGCAAGACCTGATGAGTTCACATATTCACCCAGAGGCTCTTCAGGGAGATGACTCATTGGCTGGATGCTGTGGATGGAGGGTGAAGCCAGTGGCCCTGAGCCAGGTCCTGCGTGATTAAGAGCAGTGAAGAGCTCCATTTGAGATGCATTAAGTTTGAGGTGCTTGTGAAATATGGGGAGCATCAGGGAAGCTCTGAGGACATTGAGGTTGAAGGTAGGGCCCACTGAAAGGGTGTCTCAGGACCAAGGAGGAAAGCAGGGGCAGTGTGATCTTTCCAGAGCTGGAGAGCCCAGGACAAGCCTTGGGATGGGATGTGGTGGGTGGCATCAGGCCGGACAGGTCTGAGAGAACATGAATTGTGAGACTGAACCCATGTGGCCTTGGGGACTCTCACCTCAGGCCTATGTTGGGCCCTCTTCACCAGATGGCCTCTACCCCTCCAGACCTCCAGTGCAGCACCACCTCAAGGCTTGGTTGGATTCTAGGAGGTTCTGTAAGCCATTGCAGCTAATTTTTCACCATTAAAGAATAGGCCCCCAACTTCGTCTGCCACATACAGTGTCGCAGTTGGATGCAGTGGGAGTATGTGGGCTCCTTGGGCGGCCACAGTTGGCTTGGACCTGTGAGTAAGTTGAGGCTCCCACAGCCTTGTCCCTCTCAAGAGCTTGCTCTTTAGCACCTCTCCCAGTGCCCCTCTTGTAGGGGCATGACTAGGTCCCTGCAGCTTTCTTCTCCACAGTGGATACTTGGCCAAATGGCATGGCCACAAAGTGTTGACTTGGTCACCAAGTGGATTCAATTCTCCATTGAGTTAGGCACACCTTTTCCTGCAAGTGGTTGTGTATGAAAGTTCCCAGCAGCTTGGTCCCACAAAGGCTGTCCATCTAACCCCTGGGGCACTGGCTTCTCAGCCCTGGGTCTCAACCCTAGTGTCCTAGCTTTGGCCAACTCCTTTCTGATCCTTGGTACTCCCTAGACTCAGGTGGCCTAGGCCAGCATGCACTCCCCTGAAGGGAGGCCAGTGTCAGCCTGTGAGTTCCTCCTGCATGGTGCTGGGTAACCCCCAAATCAAGCCCCATGCACTGCCCCAGACAGGTCATAAGGCTACAGGTGAGATCCTGGACACCCCCACTGTACTCCTCCTTCATGGACCCCAAGGACCTTGCACCTTCTCAGATTCCACACACCTTGAGCTTCTGGATGCAGAATGGGGGTACTGTCCCACAGCCCCAAGACTTAACAATCAGATGGGCTAGGGAGACACATAAGACCACTTAAATGGAGATTTTGCTTGGTTTGTCACAACCTGGCGTACAAGCCTAATGATTGGGAGGCGGTTGGCCCTCAAACCCCTTAGTTGTTTGTCTGCTTTGGGGGTTTGGGTGTTGGGGAGGTGTTGCAGCCAACTTGTGATGTGTAAGCTTGTTGTGATGTGTAAGTTTGTTGAAAGTGCCCTCTACAACCCCAAGCCTTTAGCCTGCCTCCTTTAAGGGCAAGGCCAGAAGGACCCCACTATGGTGGCTTCTTCTTTCCTGAGCAGCAGGGGCAGCCATCCTCAGATATGCTGTCCTGTAGGGAATTGGCATTTCCAGGTTGAATCCTTACGTCACCCTGTTTGTGGGGGACACTCTTGGCTGCTTTTTTGTTTTGCATTGCTAGGGATCACATTCAAGGTTTCATGTCCCTAAACACTATACCACTGAGCTATACTCCCAAGCCCTAAATACCAGCTTCAGTTTCTCTAGGTCCTTTCTGTTTATTCTTTGGCCCTTCTGTAGGCCATGGAAGCCACCAGCCCCATTCTCCCAAGTCAAAGCTAGGGGATGAGAGAGCTGGCTGCCACACTGGGCAGACCAAAGTGGGGATGGGCTGTGGGATCTCCACGCCTTGGGTAGTGACCTGTGCATAGCTGTGTCCTGCCTGCCCTGGCCTTGCTGATGTGGGTGCACAGTGGGACCTGCCAGTTACCTCAGAGCCTGCTGTCTTGATATATAACATGAACCAAGTCTCTCCTGAGCAGGTATCCCTTGTACCAGCTGGGCGGCCCCCAGCTCCGAGTATTTCGAACCAACTTCTTCATCAAGCTGGTACGTCCTGGAGTGGCCCAGCCTGAAGACACAGTGCAGTTCCGGATCCCCATGGAGTAAGCCCCAAAGGAATCTGGGCTGAGAGCACCCTGGGGGGGCTGTGGATCCCTGGCACCCAGGGTGGGGCTCTTCCTGACCCGGGAAGACCTGGGGCGGCTCTGCTTAGCAGGCAGCAGTGAAGGCCTGTGTTTGCAGAGCTGAGGAGAGCAAGGGGAGCAAGCATGCTCTGGCAGGCTTCCTGCTGGCCTCCACCTGGGAGGCTTAACTGAGAGCCTGAGATGTGGGCTCACTTCCTTGTTCTGGTCTTTGTTGAATTCTTGCCTTAGTCCTCTTCCCAGGAAAGGCATCCCAAGAGGCTGGGTTGGGAGCATGCTGTGATTCGCAGAACTGCTCATCTTGGCTTCCATAGTGCTTTGCTTCACTCAGCTGGCTGGGCCTGATGGCTGCTTCACCTTTAGGGAAATGGATAACTCCCCCCACTCCCCCAACTAGAAGTGTTGCTCAGGATAGGATCAGACTGGCGGGGCAGCAGTGCATGTTTCTAAGGGTGCTGAGGGTCAGTTGTGTCCAGCTTCCAGACAAGGACAGAAGGGTCCTCTTAAAGCTGAGCTAACAGTGACTGGTAAGGTTTAGCTGAAAGGATGTAGCAAGTACCCAGCTACAGACAGGACCTGCGAGCTCAAGGCATGCTAGAAGCCTGGTAGCTCTTTAAGGCAGTCACATCCCTTGTGCAAGGGCAGCTGGGCCCTAGAGGTTGAGGACCAGTGGAGAGGGGATGACATGGACCAAGCTGATAGAGCTGTGTTCCAAGTGCTTGGGGCTTGGTCCCTGTCACCCTAATCCTGAGTGGAGAGGACAGCACTGGGGGTCCAGTGGCCAATAGTGCTGGTGTCTTTGTGGCCCAGCCTGGCCTCAGCCTGATGTAGTTGAGCCCTTTTCCTGGGACCCTGTTCAAACTTCCTTTTCTTATTCACCCAGGATGACCAGGGTGGACCTCAGGAATTATCTTGAACGCATTTACAATGTGCCCGTGGCTGCTGTACGTACACGGGTACAGCACGGTGAGTGGCTGCCCCTCCTGTCTACACGATAGTGCTCATGCAGTACCGGATCACAACCTCAGGGTCAGTCATTGTAATCTCCTGACTTGTTACAGGAGGAAACTGAGGCACAAGGGACTTGCGGTGACTTGCTAGGTCACTTGGTACGCTGGTGGCAGATCTGACACCATGGTTTGCCCTTAGTGCTGCCCCCAGCCCAACACAGCGCAGCTCCTCAAGAGGTCCTGCTGCAGTCCTCAGCTGCACACTGTGTTTCCTGGAAACCCCATCGCACCCCTTGGCTGGTGTTGTCAGGTGCTCATATTCCCTCCTGTGCTGTGAGCCTGCTGACCTCCCTGACCTCCAGGCAGAGGTGCTTACTTTTTAGTGCCCTCCAAAGAAAGTGCCTATCAAATGCATTTATGTTTTCAACAGAGAACAAAGTGTTAAATTCATTTTATTGTTTTAAAATGTTTTACTTTTGTTTTCAAAGGCTGTTTTTATTTAAACAGATCATTTTAGTGGCACTGGCTGGTAGGTCTGAGCTGCTTCTCTTGTTTGGCCTGCTGTGACTCGGGGCAGCCGGCATGCCTCCTTCTGTCTGGAAAAGTTCTTGGGCTAGTGGGGCTGAATCTGTGCTGGGACCTGGGAGTAAAAGTCTGCTTCCTCCCCACAGGCTCCAACAGGCAGAGGGACCATAGGAATGTGAGGATCAAGAAGCCAGACTACAAAGTGGCCTATGTCCAGCTGGTGAGTGAGCCACAGTGCAGCCTGGCCTCCCACTGTCATTTGTGCCTTGTGGCTGTTGGTAGCCATCACGCCAGCCCCACGGCCTTATGAAGGAGGGTAGAGCCCAGAGCCCATCACGGAGCAGACCAGGCTCCACATAGGGTCTCCTGGGCCCCTGCAGAACATAGTTGATTAGCACATATGGACAGTTCATAGGGAGCAGTGCCGTTCTGAGCAGTTCTGGCCATTCAGTATGAAAGGCAGACCTACTGCAAGTATGATGGGTATCAAAGGCCACCTGTCGCTTGAGGGCCTGCCCTGGGACAGATTGTAGGCCAGGAGACAGGTAAACACCCCTGAAGATACACTGCCCTCCTACGAGCATGGGTGCCAGAGCTGGTGTGGGATGGCCTGGGGTCTGGGGCCCTGGTGGCACAGCCTTGCATTCCCCCTCCCCCTTCTTGGGTCCTGTCCAGCTCTAAATCTGGATTCCATGAACATGTGGTATCAGCGCCTAAGCTACTTTATCAAGTGTCCTGGCCAGGGGCCTCCAAGAAGGCACCCCCACCATGTGTTCCCTGAGGCACAGACCTAGGAGGAAGGAGCCCAGGTGTTCAGATGGGCTTTCTCTCCTCCCTGCGTGCTCAGGACCAAGACAAGCAGTAGCCACTCCTGGCGGCTCTCAGTCTCCAGGCAGAATCTCCTCTGACCTCAGCGGCTGGCCTTGGACTGCAGGGCCTCTGTGGGAATCCTGCAGGGCCTATTAACCAGCCCCCCACTGCTTCAAACCGGCAGGAGGAGGGGGGCTTCCTCCAGTTCCTTCAGTTTTAGTGTAAACAGCTCCCTGGGGGGT